TATATATTTTTACACAGAACAAAAAAAGAATATTTATACCTTTTTTTAAGCTTTTCGTATTATACATTTTTTTTGACATTTTTGTATCACTGCAAAATTATTTTTTTAATACAAAGTATTAGATAAAAAGTATTTCGTATAGATAATATATGTACATATAATCAATGCTTATTCGATTTATGTATTGCTCGGAGTAAATTCAGATGACGTAATCACTGACTGAATTATGCTTCAGCCTCTCTTATAAATATCAAATAAGACGATGTTCGCTTATTCATGTTTATTCCGATATGTAAAAGAAAATCATACCGCATACTCGAATTTGTCAAATGCGGGGACGTGCGTGCGTTATAGCAATTTCTCTTATCATGCATCGTGGATTCTGAAGACATAATTCTCCTTAAATTCGCAATTCCACTACCAGCACTACACTGTTAGCTAGCTAGTTCTCTCTCTCTCTCTCTCTCTCTCTCTCTCTCTCTCTCTCTTTCTCATAGCGCTTTGATGTGTTATGAATTACAAATAAGATGAGTAAAAAGTCATAGCGTGACGGGCACGGTTACATATTTGATTACAAAGGTCAATTGCCTGCACAATAAGAGAACGCGACTGAAGAGATGGAACAACGAATGCATTAATTATGCTTTTTTAACGTTTTATATATGCAATATACATTGTCTTTGCTATGTAATAGACATTACCACTGTAGCGTACTCGTGGTTGAAATTAAATTGTATGTTACTTCACTATCTCTTTTCCTAAATAATGATTCTCAATTAATTAGACGTAACAAAATTCGTTTATTTCTAAACATTTGCTAACAATTCTAAACAGTTGAATGTGACAAATGGACTATATTTTATGTTAAATTTTAGTATCTAACAATTTTGTGGTTGTACGTACCTCTATGGATGTCGTAAAGAACGAACAAGCCATTTACTGAACATCATGCCGCAGCTACACGCTTCCTTTACCACTGAACGCGAACATATCTAATTGTAAGCATGTCTTTACTAGTCAAGTGTGTTTTAGATTTTGCAAAATACAATTCAGTTTTGTTGTAACCGTAGAGATATCGATGTTTTGAAAAAGCACCTTTTTTATATTATATGATTCGATACAGAATTTCAGAGAAAATCTAATATTCAAACTAAATTTCAAATAAATATATTAAAATAAGAGATATGAAAAGTATTAATAAATATGTTAATACGACTTTATTAATACTCTTCATATTTCTAATTTTCTTCATATATAATTAATATTCAATCAATATTAATTAAATATAAAGAATAAATACGTAAAGAATGAATTTAGTTTTAACTGTAATGTCAGCTTTTGTGTGATGCTTCTCTTCGCCAGTTTTTCACGAGGATTATAAAATTTGATTTACATTGAAACTGTGTCGAATCTATAAATGAAAATGCGGCGGGCGGCTGTTTCCCGTCCAGACTTCCACCTATTTTGAAATTGACGCATCCTATGCGCATTTTATATTCAGGACATTACTTCGTGCTGAATTATTTTTCAAGTTCGGACAGGAGCACTGGTAGCAACGGTAGTAACTCTTCCCGGACGAGGCTCCTGTCTCAGCCACCCCCTCCCTGCCGCTTGCTCACCGTCGTCGGAACGAATACCAGTTCAGCTTTTCTCTCAGTGTAATCGTATATAACTGTCACTCCGCAGTAAAGGTGATACGAACTGCAAAACTCGGCCAGTCGCGTCAACGTAACGTCCGGCATGTATTCAGATCCAAACTACGGCATTTGCGTGCCTGAAATTTCTAATATTGCAGCGCCGCATACAAGTCTTTCTTTTGAAAGAAACTTTAAGTTTCCGCAAAATTCAAAATTGTAACGGCAGAAGAATGCAATATCGGTCCGGTCAATTCGTAACGTACGAGAGGCATTCACAATGCGCGAAATGTCAATGCATATACATATATATTTAAATCTTCTTGTATACGTTGGAAGACAAATAATTCGTGCTGCATAAAGAGAAACTCGTGGGAACGTGGCAATTAATTAGATCGTGCGACGTGCAATTAAATTGGCGGATGTCACGCGACAGACAGTTGCAGAAAAGTGCAACGAGCGCGCGACGATCCCTGTGTCTCTAACAAGGCGCGATGCTCGAATTCGAGCGGCGCGCCGGGGGATCGTTAAAAGTGCCGCTTAAGCGACGCTAAAGCAAGAATAAAATAACACTAAATTTACGGCGGACCGTGAATCAACATGCTTTATGATTGTTCGGGTAGCGGATGATAAAGGATGAGAGCACGCGCGGGGAGCTGGCCGGTCAGGTCGAACAGGGGCTCGAATACCCCGGCCCCAGGGTAGAGGAAGGGGGAGGGGATGAAAATTGGAAAACTGCATTGTCCACCCGTTCTACCCCTCTGGGACACATTCGTTAGTGGGCATCGTCCACCGACGATAAATTTCACGTATCTTCCACTTTCCCGTCTTTCACCTGCGCTCAAATTAAAGATCAGCCCGATCGTGATTGCTCTCCGCGCGACTATCGACTCGTTTGCCTTTTAATTAAATATTCTAGAAAATATTGAATTACTAGAATAATTCCATACATCTGGCCGTATAAACGTGCTTATTTATCTCTTAATATTTGCCTAAAGACTCGTGTATTTACCGTCGCGTTTCTGCTTACAAATTTAAGTGAAATCAGTTTTGGAACGTGATATAATTCAATACCCGGGATCTCGAGAGTCAATTTGATATTCGTGATATTTGCTTGTACCGCGGATACAGCGGAGGAACTTGGATAAAGCTAATCTTGGAAGGCACAGCTTTGAGTTCTGTTTCATGCGACTCGATACGGGACTCGTGACGTTTCACACGAGCTACCCATTCTGTATTACCATTCCACCTATCACTCAATCCCGATTGAATACTCGTGCAACGCGCGTTTATTGAATCCGCGTATAAAAACATGAGCTCAAGTCACAATTACAAAGAGGGACCGTGAGCGATTAATTAGAGCTACGAATGAGAAATTATTCTCAACAATTTCACGAAAAAGTTAATTCTACAATAAATAAATCATATAATGAGCAGTTATACAATGTATACAGTTATACATGTATTATTTAATTTTATTTGAAAAAAAAAACATCCTATTATTGTGCTCCAAACAGGAGAGATGTAATTACGAGAAAATAATGGTTAAAACAAAAGCCGCTAAAAAAATCAAAATATGTTGTATTCATTGTACTGAAATTAGAACGAGATATTGTCTGCTCGTATCGACGCGCGCACATTAATTGGATTGCTTGAAGCACTATTGAAACCGCAAAACATATTGATACGTTTAAATCCCGCGAGCGCTGGTGCTAAATCCACAATATCATATTAAAGTGCATAATAATACCGAAATTTCAGAATGAAATACATGTGCATGTTAAATGGAACACGGCCCGATACGGTAAAGCATATATATATATGAAATTTTATAAACGGCACGCACCTGCACCGTACATTTTTTTTGTGTTTGATTTAATGCAGTTGACTTTTTGGACACATTTTATATATGCCATTTTTTTACTCTTTTTTCCAAAATTCGCTTTGTTTTCGTAGATCGACACGCGCATGGGGGCTTGATCGAGAGGTTTCGGTAGCCGGATAGACAAACGGTGGCTAATTTTCGCAGATCCACCTCTGTGCGTGACTCAAACAAAAAAAGAGGCCGCTTTCCCGTAAAAAGTGTTTGCGATCTTGCTTTGTTAACGGGCAATTCAACTTTGTTGCTTCGGATAAACAACGGTCGGCCAAACGAATGTACCTTCCCAATAGTGCGTTCAACCTCGCTTTTAGCGTCCCTTTTCACGCAAATTGCCACGAAAAGCTGGGCCAGTTAAAATATTTACGAACGTCAAGTTTATCGCGAGGGATACCGTCGGGGTTGAAAATGCAAGCTTTCATCAGCTACAACAATAAAATACAGTGTGATTTTTTACGCACCGCGGTCTATCTTAAAAAAATTTTATTTTGAGTAAGTTAAACGTTGTAATAAAAAAAAAGTAAATTTACCAATAACTATTGAATAATATAACTAGTGTTGTTTTTATTAAAAATATCCGACTTTAATACATTTAAAATCATTAATTTGCGCAAAATTTTTTTGTTCCATCTTATTATCGTCTCAGAGTATTAGGTATATAATCTGGAGTACGTAAAATGCTGCAGTAAATTAAATTGTTAACGGCTACATTAATAGGTTAATGGGCGCTTTTTTTAGATTATAGACTTTTTTCACACTACCGATTACTTTACCAAGCTACGGAGTAAATTTATGAAGTGCCAACGGTTACGATAAACTTACAAGGCATCCTGTTTCACTGTACGTTATTTCACATAACGTGACGTAGAAATAAATACTGCTAGATAGAATACAATTTTATACAATATTTATTATAAATTATAACTTATAATGATTTATTTAATATTATATCTTTCTTATTTTTAAAAGCAGGCAAATGTACATATTATAGCTGTGTTATAATTGTACCAAAATTTAAATATTTTTTATTATAATTAGAGTTTTATAATATGTAGTCACGTGCCTAAAATTTAGAATATTTAAAATGTTAATGCATTATTAATAAATGACACATTACATAAACAAAACGAATTAATGAGAAGTAATGAGAATGTAACGTGTTACTTTTTCAAAACGTGCATTCTGAATAAAAGTTCAGCATGTCGAATCGAAGATAAAGAAATAATAGAAGGACTTTGTATAATCTAAATTTGCATAATTTTTATACTGTTGCGTGCAAATACCACCGCCTGTATCGTCAAGTTTAAGAAATCTGTATTTGCGGGCGTTCATAATCCAAATGTCGATAAGAAGTTGTTTAACGAGTGTTGTGTAAATTTACATCACGAGTCCAGCGCGGTACACAATTATATGGTCGTAATTACGTTGAATATCGATCCCGCGAAATTAGTATGCGATAATATAAAGACATTGACAGTAAAGTGCAAAACCAATCGCATCCAGTTCTACCGAGAAATATTTTATGCGTTCACGTATTTCATTATTTGGAATATTGCAGAGTGCAAATTCATCACACTTTCAAAGTTCGTATGCTTTATAATTTCGACAAACATATTTACAAGTAAAATATCTTTAGTCACTACAATAGATTTCCTATCAAAATCTTATATCGATTTATATTTTAACATTATAGCCATATTTATCGACACATATTTTACAAGCATTTTAAAAATTTGTATTTATAAATATATTATGTTAATTTTAGATATATAAGAAATATGTTTGATTAAAAACTGACGCAGTTCTATTTTTATTTGTATTGCACAGGCCCATATAATATAACGAGTATCCATTTAATTAAGACACATGTTGCTTTTTAATTGAGTCTGTAAAAAATGAACTTGGCGATTATAAATTGATCAATCACTGACCATCGGTGCAAATTTAATTGAAATATATGCACATTTTAATGGTATACAGTTTCAACAAATTTACATTGGAGTTTGCTTAAATTTGCATTCGGAATATGTTTGGTTGAAACAACCTGCATTTCGATTTGTATGTCACCGGGATAGATTTGATCGACTTTTAACAGTACTCATTAGTCAATCATTAAAATTCATCCTGTATGTTATATATACTGCAAAATGGATTCATTCAATTGCCCAAAACTTCTTGGAATTTATGAAAAGTAGAATTTCGTTCCTACGACGTGTCGTAGGACATAACATAGTAAATAATTCAATGCAATTACTTTTCATCCACCACGCATGGTTCATGTTGTACACGAAATATCCAAAAATAGCTAAATGTCGACTTGGTTTATTTAGTTTCGTTTGCACGTCAATAACGAGTTATTGTCAATGCATTTCAATGTTTTTCTACTATGAAACCAAAACTGTATGAAAGGCGCTTCAAACGAACAATGGGTGTTTTAAAGTTGTAATATTTTGACATGGTACGTTTTACAAAGAAAATTAAATAATATTTTTAATAGAGAACCACCACGAGACATATTTATGATTTTAATTCATCAACTATTCCCACATTTTCCCGCTGTACTAAACAACAATCATCCAAAAATTTATAAGTACATCTTAAAGAACCTGATAATTTTCAACAGTGTCAATAATAAATTAATTTATAATGTAAAATAGTTAATAATAAACAGCAATTAATTATAAATTGAGGAAAAATTTTTAATATATTATGATTAGTGCTCTTCAATTCGGAGATGTAAAATTATAAAAATATTTTCACGTATGATTCAATTTGTAATACAATTTTTTACAATTATTGTTTACGACAGACAAAATTACTATTCTTTTTTATGCTATTCAAATATGGATTACAAATTGAAAATTTGCTGACAATTTTTAATACATTAAAATTAAGTGTTTAAACACGGTTAACACGTATACATTTAAATCAGTTTATTTCTATATGTTGTATCAATATTCACCTTTTTGCGAGTACTGTACTTACTTTCAATTTCTTTAATAATTTACATCTGATTAATAAAACCATTTTTATTTTTTTAAATATTTAATTAACTAAGGAATTAAATTTTTATAACGTTTAATTAAATAAGGAATGGACATAAAAAGAGCAATTTACTAAAACAAGAAAATTTTTCCTTGATGCTTTCAATCTAAATGGAAGATATGCCGATGTTATACATAAGTTCGTGTAATCACGAGAACATTAATCGTATACTGAACACTAATTCAGCATGTAATTGTTGACTATAGAAGATATCAAATTTGTACATTTGAAAAACGGTTAATAAATTAAACAATGCAATACAATACATTATTAACAGACAGCAAAAAATATATGCAATTATCATTTAAGCTTATGAAAATAGCTTCGAATAAATGATAATTACAGAATGGTAATTATTCGTAAAAGATATTAATTAATTCTCTTTACATTTATTCTTTCTGCTTTGAATCAAGAAAGCTACGTGAAAATACGAATTCTACAGATGTGCTTCATTAACAATTGAATGAATAAAATCCGTATATTTTTAACCTCTTATAGTGTAAACAAAGCCAGCTGTTATACAAGGCTGAACACAGATACGTATATAAAAGGGGAAACGAATGAGTGGCCCTCTCTATATATCCAGTTGGTAATTCGATCTGGATTTGATTTGCAACGGTGATTTGCGAGGATGATGAAGTTAATTATTCTGCTCGCTGTGGCCATTGCCCAGCGTAAGTAAACAAAAACCAGTAACTTATCAACATATAAATACGTAAAATGTATAGAAGATTTTTGTAAACGTATCTGTTAACTTTTATAAAATAAAACTTAGTGGAATTTATCTTTAACATATATTCTTTAATAATGGACTTTTTAAATATATTCCCCTATCATTTTGATAACAATACGAAAATTGTTTACCTGTTTTGTTAAATATAAAATGTTTTCAAAATAATAGATAATAATATAAAATATTTTTATAATAATACATAGTAATATAACGGAATAAGAGATAATAATTTCGATCTTATTGCATAGAGGCTTATTGCGATGAACCCGAGCGAATCGTTGGTGGTGACATGGCTACGCTCGGTCAATTTAAATATCAAGTCTCTCTTCAATCTTACGGCGAGCACATTTGCGGAGGTAGCATCATTAGTAGTACACACATCCTTACTGCCGCTCATTGCGTAAATGACGATTTCTACACTAATGGCATGGTACGTTCCTTCTTTCTTTTTAAATCAAACAAAATTTCATTATTAATTAAAAAATTATAATCAGAACATACTTATTATTACTATTTATTCAAGTAGAATAATAATATTTAGATAAAAATATCCACAGTGATATAGAAGGTGTTTTTACTTCACATTTTTAGAATGATCTTGCATCATTTCGATTAACTTATAGAAGATCACCATTATTTCTTGTGGAGAGAAAATATTAAAATATTCTAACAAATAATGCATTTACATTGCTAATTAATTCTATTAATTAGAATTAAAAATAGTTTAGAAATTTTAAAATACTTGTAGTAACATCTTCCATTTGCTCATATCTAAGCAATTTAGAAAATGTTTATGTATATTGTTCAAATAATCGAGTTAAATTAATTCGGATAGTGTTTCAATTATTATTATAGAAGGTATTATTATTCTGATATGAAAATATAATATCCTGGCTAGTATTCTGTACCTGCGTATCTGATATTTCCTAGTTATTTCGAATATTAACGGATACTCAGCTAGGCTGTGTTAATATCTGAATTAATTATCCAATACACGAGTATTTCGCCATTAATCAAACATTAAAGCAAAGGTTATAATACACTCGTGCTACGCGTACGCTTGGCGCGAAACACTTATACTGTGTCTCTTGATAAGCAATATTTAAAAAAAGTCACATAATAGATACCGAGTTCAATGTTTTCCTGATTCATTTATGTACTGCTTCTTTTTTCCTTTCCTTCTGTTATTCCACTATTTTTCATTAATGTACTTTTATCTTCTAAATCCTTCCACTTGACTTATCGAATTGTTCAATTTACAGGTTGTCGTAAGCGGACTCACTAACCTGGCAACGAATGGCGAGAAGCACGAAATCAAATGCATTCGAATACACCCAAGTTACACTGGTGAAAAAGAGAGTGGCTGGAAAGATGACATCGCTGTGATTACTGTGAGTTTATCAAGTTTATCAAGTGTTTAGAGAATAAATAAGAACAGTGTCATATTAAAGAAACCATATATGTATATGTGTATATATATATATATATATATATATATATATATATATACGCAATACATGCGCATGTTTGTTTGCGTAGCTAAAAAAACCGATCAAAATGAACGACGTGCAAGGCCCAATTCCTTTAGCAAGTAAAGACCATGTTAACGGCGGTAAACGCGGCATCGTAAGCGGATGGGGAAAAACCCAAATAAGTGGATCGACCTCGATATTGCTCAGATGGCTTGAAGTGAACGTCTTAAGCCAAGAGCGCTGTCTACATGGACACAAAAATCCACGTACCAACGAAAATCAGATATGTACGCTGGAAAAAGTTGGGAAAGGTGCCTGTCAAGTGAGTTACTTTATTTACACTTACTTTATATCTTATGCATAACGCATCTCACGAACACTTACATATAGTTTTCACGAAGAAAATTAGTAAATTAAATACGGGCGTTTCTAATAACAAAGTTTATTAATTATGTGACACCGTTTCATCATTTGATGTTACGAATTTTTAATTAAGAATTCTAATTGTCACATTTTTTTCTAGGGTGACAGTGGTGGCCCTCTCGTTGTCGACAACGAGCTCGTTGGCATTGTTTCTTGGGTCCTGCCCTGCGCTTTGGGAATATCTGATGTATACACTAATGTTTACAAGTATCTCGATTTTGTCAAAGAATCTCAATCTATGTGCTAACAATTTGTATTTAAAACATAATTTAATTCTGTGTAAGTATTAACATTCTCAAATTTTAAATGAGATAACATTTCACACAGCAAATAACAAAAAAAAATTATATTACCATCCTTACAATAAAATTCTTAAAAGCCTTTCGTTTAACGAAAAATAAAATAATGAAAATTAAAAACATTAAAACTATATTTTAGAAAATAAAATTTTATTGTTAATTAGCAATGTAATAATGTATTTCTTTGCTTACGCGAGTGAAACATGAGGAGTTTTATAATATTTAATTTAATTGCAGATGGATATAAAATGACCGGTTTTCAAAAACAAAATAATGTGTTTTAATCAAACAAGCTGAACAATCCTGTCATACTTGTGTGTAATTCCGAGGAAGTTAATCGTATGTATTGGACAATAATTCAAAATGTAACATATAATTGTCTCTAAGTAACAATGAATATTAAAAGACCTCGCACACTTTGCGGGAAATTATCTCCGATGAAGCTTTTTGTTCATACTTTGTAATTTTACAGTTCACAGAACACTGATTAAAAGTGTCAACGGGTATAACTCTCTAGGAACTATAGTTTAGCTTATAAAAGACAGTAAAAATTGGCATATTGGTCATTTTTACAATTATAATGTAATAAATATCGTGTTTAGTCTCTCTGCAAGTTGTAGTAAGTAAAACATTCCAAAAGTCATCACGTTTTCATAACTCACAATCAATACAAAAGGAACAAATGTAAAAAGAATTAATTAATATTTTTAATGAATAATTATCATTCTACAATTGGAGGAAAAGATAGTATTACCCCAGTAGAACACCAGGTAATGTGACTGCATTCGGAGAACGCGCTATCAACGCTCGACCTTGTCTTACGTCTAACGAACGATAAAGATAATGAAATAGCGCTTATAGTATACTGTCAGCGTTATCTAGCGCTTTCATCGTTATTGTGTTATTCTGTATTTCTCTTTTCTATACAACTCTTTTCTATTCGTTTATCCATGTTTCACGTGTGATAAACGATAAACATAAAATGACGCATTGGCGTCAAATAGCGATGACAGCTTGTTTTAAGATTGCGTTGGGGAAGCGCGCAATTAACGCTACTATCTCATTTTATCTTTATTATTAATTAGATGAATTAAAATAAAAGGATGAAATAAGGTAAATAGCGCTAAAAGCATTGACGCTATACGGCAGCCTAAGCGCCGTATGTAAAAGAGGAAATGACGATAGAGTGGCATCCTCTGTCGAGTTCGTAAATCAGTTTGAATTTAATTTGTGATGGTGATTTGCGAGGATGATGAAGTTAATTATTTATTCAGTCAGTATTTAGTCATTAACATTTTTATAAGAATAATGTAACTTTCAATGAAAAAATAGCTATATAATAATGGTAACAAATGTTTTTCTCAACAGTTAAATTAAATTGTTTAGTCTTTATCTCTTACACAAACAATCTTTCTAATATGACTTACTTAATGTATCACGTTATATCCTCATAATCATAAAAATTGTCTGATATAGCCTATAGCTTCTTCAAATAAAACTGATTCAGCTGTCATACCAGTGGATGTGTGACAACTGCGATAAAATTGCAGCTTCTTAATCTGTTTCGGATGCCATGCGGAATTCACTGCAATCCTCATGCAGCACATACGCTCATTCCCAACGAGATGCCGACAGGCTGCCTGAACAGCTGATAAAATATCAGCCGTCTATCGGGCCGTGTTTGCCGATATTTTATCCGTTTAATTGTTTTTCGATAGTCGAGTGTCGGTCCAGCTTTTTGCGCACGAGAGAGAAGAGGGGTCAGCGAGACGGGCCCGGGTTATTCGTTACAATGAAATTGAATCGCGCGCTAACCGGGGGCAAGATGGTAAACAGCTTTTATTGGCAGAATAATTTTTTGCCCGCGTTACACCCTGGAAATTAGCTGTCGGCCGCGCAATCTCGCGTCAATGCCTCGTGTCAAACGCTTCGACGTAGACGGACCGTAACGGACGCGTCGCGCCGCCGAAAAAGAAACGCGATTCCGCCGTTATACGTTGCTCTTGCTCTTTCCGCGGTAGTTTGTCCTTGTCACGAAAATCCGTTTATACATGTGCGAGTTATGGTGATGTGATGCTTTTTTTGCGCGCGCTTATGGAACACTATAAATGCGGGCGATAAAAGCACAAGGTGTGAAATATTGCTTCAGCATCAGAACGAATATGTTGAAACTTTAACTGTAAACTGGCGCCTCCAAAGTAACTCAAGAAGAAAAATCGCTCTCTTCCAATTCTCACGTTATGTGCGAGATATTTTATGAATTAATTCATTGTTGGAATAGGCAGAATTTAATAAAACTTTGCGGCCTCTGAAAAAAGTTCATTAAACAGTTTCATACGCGAGTAAATTGATATTAAAAAAAAGTAATGCCGCACGGAATTATTGGAATAAAAGAGTTAACGTCCCTCATCGGTTAAAATCGTTTTCGTCCATGAAATGTCGCCGTATCCAAATTCCAATGTCATTCGTATAATACGCCCGTATAATACCTACCCGTGCAATTGTGCGTGGCGCGCAGAGAGAAAAAAAGAAGAAAAATAACGATGAGCATTGGATATTCGCCTCTCTCGCTGGCTTTTTTCCCCGCAAGATACGCTTATCAAGCGGTTATTTTCTCTCCTTCGCCAATTTCGGCTTCCGTCGATCCACCCACGGCTGTCGTTGTCCCATTTATTCGATTTCGGAAATGCTCGTGCTGTCTCGTTTTGACGCGTTTCGCCGGCGCAATCGCAGCATCGCGGCGGCGAATTGCGCGACAGCTCGCCGGCACCCTCCCCGTCGGCCCCGGCGTTCGTTAATTGTCGCGGCGGCGAAGTTGGAAACAGCGGGTACACGTAGTAGATGGCCGGGGCTTACCTCGCCCGTATCGCGTTTAACTATGTCGCACAGTTTTCTCTTTCCCTCTCTGCCCGATCCACCTCCCGGGCGCGAAACATCGCACACGTGCGCCGGGAAAGAAAAACTGCGGGACACAATGCAACGAATTCACTGCCCTCGAATGCCCGGAAGTCGCTCAATGGCCGCACGGTGATTGCTATTCCGCGTTTCGACCGCGTCCGTTAAAAATAACGGATATAGCGATCAACCACTTTTTTTAATTTAGTAACGATTACATGTAAATGATTAAAGAACGAATAACGATGGTATAAGGAGAAGCAGTTTTTTTTTCACCATTTGAGAAATTGATGTATTTTAAAAATAATAATGCACACGGACGGAGAGCGCGGGAGTTATTCAGCGATGTAAATGCAAAAAAGGGAGCATCCCTTTAATTACCTAAACGAAATGCTTAATATAACTCTTCCGTGTTATTCGTACAAATTGCTACATTATGTTACGCGCAAAAGCGGCAAATTAACGTTTAAATATTTCAATGCAATACAGTGCTTGCCGTTTCATTTTCATTTCCCTAAATTTATTTCGCGATATTCCATTAAAATCGCAATTTAGCTACGTGCAATTAATCCATTAGTGCCATTAAAGAAATTAAGAGTGAGCGGTGACGTCGTTATGAATGTCTCCGCAATTTCGTTAATTTCGTTAAAATCGAGGTTCCGAAGCAGCCGCGTATGATAAATAAAAGATACTTCCCATGCATGTTTCGCGTTAACAGTACGCGCGTACGAACATCGGTTTTCCGTCCTAGTATTTTCAACGCGCAAAATACACGCAATGTATAGTGTGCGCGCAACGGAAAAATCGGTATATATAAACCGCGCGTACCAATTAAAATCCGTTCGTATCGTAACCGTTTTCGTATCTAATTAAAAAGGCGGCGCGTGTATTCATTAAAAACGGAAATATATAAATATTTTTGTATGTGCGTACTATACATATATATAAAAATGCCGTGTACGCAGAGTTTTGTATAATGCACGTTAATCCAAACATAAAAACGATGAAGATTGGATTAAACATGCCGGATATATATATCATAATACGCAGTTCAAATTGGTTTTCCGATTGAGCAAAGAGAATAAATGCTAAAAAAATACTTTCGTTGTGTTGACAACATCCCATCTATATATTATATATATATTTTTTTCTTTTCAGAATTTGCTCTCTTTACTTAAGCGAGAAATTTAAAACGATCTCTAGCTTCGATCTCTCTCATCTAATAAAAAATTTAGAAATTAAAATTTTCCAGCTGTGCTGAAAATATTAGCTGCCAACAAATTGGAGATAATATAAAACAAAATTTTCATAATACGCAGTATTGCAAATGTATGTTTTCAGAAAAACTATGCGATTTGCGGATTATCTCTATGACGTATCGTTAAACGGTTACATCTCACGATTAAATTTCAACGATGTTTCAAGATAACTTGCAAACTGTGTAGTTTTTCTGAAGAAAATACCCGTGGAAGCCTTAAATATAGGTATAAGGCTTGCTCACGTTGTGTAAAGAAAAATGGATACGCGCTCGCTTGACGAAAACTTGATCGAACAGGAAGAGCGAAGTAAAAGTCTATGTGTTTTTTTTTATATCATCATTACATTTATTGAAACAGTATTCACGTCGATGAATATTTTTTACAATATAGTATTCTATATCGCTTTTCTTCGCTTTTAATCCTGTCTTTTTGATTCATGCTTAAGTTCCCTTATAACATGATACATAATCGATTATGAATTTTATGTACAATGCAGTCTAGTCTCCTTACCTAATGTAATGTGCAACATTTCCGTAAGTATGCGAATCGCGGATATTTGATTATCTAGTTCACAAATAGGTATACCTCTCTCGATATTTTTCTGTTTGATCATCCATCATGCACAGGAATGTATTTTTTAAACCTTATAATTGAGCCACGGTTCGCGCTATGAAAAAAATCACGGTGGAATCGGTATTGAAAACCGCCAAAACGCGGTGCATCGCAAATACGAACTTTTTTTTTATCGAATTGAATTTGATTAAATATTTTGATTCGGCACACACCAGTAGTTCGATAGAAGTGATTTCTCAATCTCAAACATTTTTTCATTTTGCACTTTGATCACTTTTTATGTAATTACGTCAGCCTCTCTCTCTCTTTCTGCATCATTGATTCGCAGCAGTTTTTGTCCGGAATATATTGTATAACTCGATTTATTTAATATATCAATATAAATCATAACGCGTGAAAAATTATATACAAATTGATAGCACTTCGTGCGCGCGCGATATTAGACCTCCGATTCTAAGTGAAAATCTAGAAATGCTTCACGATCTTCAACAGCAGGTAGATCCTAATTTGTGTTTTCCGAGCTACAATGTTATAAAAAATCTATGGGCTCTAAGACGAATCGTATCTTAACATTTTAATCATTATGATATATTCTTTAATCATATTATATAATATGTCGTAATAAACCTACTATCTAATGATTTACTGCTATGTATATTCTATATTACGTGCGTTAAATCACTTAATGATCATATCTAGGATTTTGTTTTACTTCTCATATTTTTTTCTTCTTGGAAAAAAGCGGCTTGGATTGAAAGAAATTAATCTAAAAAGTAATTTAAAAATACTCGGCTATTTTAGCTAGATAATCAAGATTGGATCGATTTAATCAAATGCACAGGAAGACGAATAATTTAAGCATTTATCCTTCGTAGAATTTGATGGAAATATCGAATCTGGCATTAATGTCGGAAGACCATTATTAATTTAACGTTAATGAATAAAATAAAATTTTAATAGCGAAACTATATGCCTGTTATGTACAGAATTACTTATTTGATTCACTTGCAAAATTAAGTAAGTCACCGTATTATTTTCCCCAAAAAAATTTTATTTTCATTATTCTTAGTTACAAAAGAAATAACTAAGTACTGTACATATGAAATCTGAAAAAGATTTTGTAATCTTTTATGACCTGCGGTCTTAGCACTACAAATGCTTTGAAGCGATTCGATTGACCAATCAGAAAAAAGAAATCGACGCTTCAAAGCATTTGCAACATTAAATGGATCGCAGCCAATGAATAATTGAATAATTTTATAATAATGTATGATAATCGCGTGATAATTGATGACAATTCATCAATATTTTATAGAGAAATGAATTTTCATAGCAAAAGGCGACTTTTTATCAGTTCTGCAAAGGAACCTTTATTTCATTTATACATTTCAATCTTTCAAATTATACTTTCCGCACTATTATCATGATACATAACAAACGCTTATCATTGACCTATTTTAAATATATATTTACGTATTATCTTTTTATATATTCACTTATCTATACACGAGCTTTATAATACATTTTAACATAATGTCCATTATCCGTGATCGTTGATGTTTATTTGATTAAATTTTGATTAATCGGTGAATTAATTTTGACGCGTTTTGATTTTCGAGAAAGTCACTTTAATATTCTCATAGCAAAATCTTTGAATGAATTGAAAATGACGTGATATACAAGTTTGAAAGAGGAACATTACTTTTGACAAATTGCATTTTGATTATCGAACCAAAGCAAAGACGATGTAACGAATCATTTAGTTTAAAAAATCCTGTTTACAATAAACAAACAGAAACATATCGAGGCCAAACCTATCTAATATCATTACTAAAGTGATTAGTTCTGGTTGCCTTTTCATTCTTTGCTGGTATAACTTTGTTTTCTGTAAATACTCTCTCCTGATATTGAAAACAATTATATTTTTATTTAAAAATACTTGTATTAACATATAGAAATTTTTCTAAAATTCTTTCATAAAATTGAATTGATTAAAAAAGAATTGATTTCTTCGCGACAGTTTCCCTTTATGTCTCCAACAATTAGTTCACAATCATTCGATTTATTCGAAAATTAATTGCTTCGAAACGAGACGTTTTAAACATTGATTTCATTTCCATACAATAACCTTTTCTTTTGTATAAGTTAAAAACTTTCCTCAAAATTATATTTTAATATTTCGGATGTACTCTTTAAAGAAAGACTTTTACAAATTTGAAAACATTAAATACCAGTTTGGAGCATAAATCCAAGAAAAGCTTCTTACATTTATAACAATGCTCAATTAAAATTTTACTTTATCATCACGAACGAAGAATTTCCTTATATAAATTTTCAACTCTTTGAACAATTCTGTCGCGTATTAAAAGACTGCAATGTTTGATGAACAATGCAATTTGATAAACAATTAAATTGCGATTTTCTTAAATACTAAATCGTCATGATATTAACACAATAAATGTAAATATTGTAATAAGTTAAATTTAGATTTTATCTAGAATTAGAATTTAATTCAAATGATTTTTATCATAAGATATTCTCACAGTCTTTTTTGAGAAACAATACCACCGCATTATTCTCACTCTAGCAATCAATCCCTAACCAACGCAATTCTCATTAATAAATATTACACGTTTAACCGAACAAGTCAAATCTGGGCAAAGTTATTACATACGTATAATATATATGTATATAACTCAAGAAATACGAAAAATATCTGGCACGTTCGAGATGCTGAATTGCGCCCGCGAAGCACAAGGTTCAGTTAGAATTTTCGCAGATTTACGATTGCATGTATACCATACCATTGTATCATAACCGATGATACAAGCTATATACAGTAGCTGCCCAGATCGAACGACGAGAAACAATTAACGATATTACGCGGCAAACAATTCTCGCACGTGCATTGTACTGTACAAGGTCACGGCAAATCCTACATGCTCGATTATTCATCTTATGTACAAGAGCCTTAATTATCTGATAATTGTTACGCAACTAGTTGATAATCGTTAGATTATAAATTTCGATTCGTGTAATAATTATTTCGTAGCCATCGAACGGATCCAGCCATCGATACTCGATTCGAAAGCGTTGGGCAATCGTAACAGATCATGCGATCGACCCGATCTCACCTGCCAAGCACACGGCGTCGTTCCTATCGGTCGACGTTACGTAGAAGTTACTCTACGAGGCCATTATTGAATTAATTAAAATACAAATTCTAACAGAGTTCTCGCGACGAAATCACGAGATGAGCAGTTTCCTTTTCGTCACTAGAGAGAGAGTCCACGCGTATATTCGTTGAGGCACGGCTTAAACATGCCGATTTAATTATACAAAAAGCACAAGTGCAAGGGAGTCTATCCCTTTGGCGAACGCTCAACCATACCGTCCCATCGGGGAGCGTTGAGAATAATTCGGCACGTTTTTTTTGTTGTTGTCGCGCGCGATGTATTTAACACGATTTCGTACAAAAGAATGGAGAGTCTGTGAAAGATTTTCGTGTTAAAAACGTACGTGCTAAAGATCATCCGCCACGTCACCGCGTCCTTCACAGAGCTTTGGTCCACTGCACTTCGGTCCGCACTGTGATTCTCTTGTCGTCGCTTCCGAGCACTCCGACGGAATACGGATACACGCGCAGCGTGTGACAGCGAGGCGTGAGCTAAAGCGATCTATCGCGGTCGGCCGGGCGATTTTTCCGAGCGTGCACCATTCCGCGACCGTCGCGTCGTCGCGTCGATCGTCGCGCGCGCGTTTCACTTTGGACGTTGTCTCTCCCGACCGTCGACACGTTTTGACTTTCTTTCTTTTTTCCTTTTAAGATGCGCGATTCACGACGCGGCTGCTCACCTTAACAGGTTCGCGATTATGAGAGTGATGCTGGCGAGTAGAATGGTCGGGGCCATGCCGCAGCTGCCGCCGTGCTGCATCGCCGCCGGATGTTCACCTGCAACAGAAATAGTACAACTCGACTTTAGTTACTCCGTCCACAGTTCCGTTTCTAACATTAATGACGTTGTTGAACAATTCACGTTGTTCTTCATCCTAGGTATTTTATACATATATTTGTTGTGTCTTATTAATATAACATTATATAATTTTTAAATATATGTAAAGAAAGTTATTTTAATGTATAACTTATAATATATATTTAAATATAAAATATAACTGAATATCTTGAAGAATAATATTCAATGAAAAATCATATATGTATATTAGATTCTCAAAATGACGTATTTCTCATTGTTTAATAAGCAAATTGTTAAAATAAACCTTTATCAATTAAATCTCTTTAAATTTTCAAACGTTTACAGAAACTGTATTATTGAAAATAAATCGTAAATGTGTCGATTTTTTCTAAAATAATATAATTATTTTTCAAAAATAATAGAGAATTGTACTTTTATTAAATTTACATCATCCTTCTTCACATATACGTGGTCAAAATAGAAGAAATTACTTTAAAAAGATAACAAAATGAAATATTAATCTAGAATATCTTCACATAGTAATTTTCTAATGTACATATCCATCTTTGCGCGATTAGCAAAATTAGTCAGATTATTATACAATTTGATAGTTGTTAGAAGTAATATATATAGAAAATTGTACGCCGGAGTTGAAGCAAATTCTCATTGTTTCATATCGTTAATTCTATAAACCACGTCACAGTCTCTTCGCATTGAATATTATCTCGAGTAGCTACATAACGCAGGAATTTAATTGTGCAGCCCTAATTAGATTCACAATGTAGGTTAATCGTTCGTATAACGCGTTAAACGCTAAGCAGGAACTTTCCAGCCTAACGACAATCTCCCTCTCCCGGTAATTGAATCCTATATAGAGGAAATAATTGGGAAAATAAAATGCATTATAGTAAACTCCATTTTTGTTCGAAAACTAAAACTCAATGCGCATTGATATTCAATTACAAACAATGTAATAACAACACGTATTAGGAAGATTTTTTAGAAACATTAATGCGTTCAATTTAAGGAATACAAATTTTTAATTTTCATAAATTTTATACCAAATTCTAAAAATTATTAGAAAAACTCAGATATTAAAATATGCAATAATAAGAAAACTGTTTCATTAATTTAAATTAAAATACAAAGAGAAACTATGAAAATAATGTACTTTATGTAATATAATACACGTAGAAAATATACGTATAATATTTTCAATGCATTAATGATAATATAATGTTATTTTTATGTTTTTTTTTTATTTAAATTGTTGAAAAATTTTTCAATAATATAACAGTATTAACTTTGATTAAATTCTTCGTAAATTTCGTTTTCTTCAGCAATTCTTAAATTGATGATTTTCGATACAATATAAATAGAAATACGATTTTCTATATCTTTCAGTAACGTCATTTACGTCATCGCACGGTATGTTCGCGAGAAATTTATAAAATGGTCCGTGCAATTTTCACATGTTACTATAAAGTTTCACGTCATGACAGAAAGGAATAACGCGCTTAACGTACGTAAGGTGCGCTTTTACCAAAGGGTAAAACGCGTGCCGTGCAGGCACGAACCGCGGGTGAAATATCGTTTTGTTCGGCAATAACAGCAGCTACGGGCGAGCGGCACATTCGAGCGGGAAACAACAATTTCGCGTTCCGTGTCGACACGGTACGCGCGCGGTATCGTCGCGTTGCATGTAACATTCGGCGGCAATAAAGATAATCACAGGTCTGGGCGGCGGTATATGACATAACGGCGGTTCCACGACGCGGTAACCGGTCCCTTCGGCAAAGGGGCGGCAATTTACGAGCAAATTGAAAATCTCATCGGCCGGAGTTTACCGTTACGCCGCGTTTACCTGGTCCGGTTATCAAAAAAAAATGACACCCGAGCCCCGAAATGTCGGGCGGGCGGGCGAGCATGGCGGCCGACGTGCGTAATTGCGTTAATGCGCAGATAGTACGTGCCAAAACGGATAGCCCCCGGGTCGCATACGGGTTTATCGGGAAATAATTGAAATTTGCGGTCAATTTTGCAGAGTAATCAGCTGTGTTTGAAATAACGTCGATGGCCAATGCGCCGGCCGCGGCGACCGGGTGCGCCCTATAAATTAATTATGCAGACGAACTGTACCGCATTAATTTTCATCCGGCAGCGGAAGCGGCTCGCTCCGCGCGAGCGAGACGCGCGTTCGCCGGGCGTTTCCGGACGAAAGTGGGCGCGATCGATGTCTCGATGGTTCGAAGGGTGGAAAGCGCACCGGCGGACGTGCGGGGCAAATAGGAGGAAGGGAGGGGGAGAGGGGAGGGGGCCGACAACGCCGTGGCTGCGTGGAAACCGTGGAAACCTCGAAGAAAGCTTGTTAAGTTCTGCAATTCGATTGCCGTGCAAACGCGCGCGGTGTACGCGGCGGGCGGTCTGTGTTGCCCGCTCGGTTGCCGGAGGGTTTTGTTGATTTTTGTAGCTGCCGACGTGGGATGCTATGAATTCGAAAACATTAATTTAATCAGGGATTGAAGAGAGACCAGCGGTATTGTAAATTTATTGCGTTGGTGGGCCAGGACGCATGCAGCATCGGTGTCGAAATGAAGCGAAACGAAAGTTGCGGCATATCGATGCGGTCTATTTTTTTTTTCACTGAATATTGAGTAGATCACGTCATACAGATAAAATGATGATGATGTAGTGCCTTTCGAATATAATGGACTATATAATCGACTAAAACGACGCAATTTTTACATCGTAAATTTTTACATCGTACATAATCATAATCGTTTCGGTAATCGCTGTATTATAGAGTGCTATTTTCTTTTTTTAGAATATTTTAATTTTAAAATTCCATACCAGCAAAGTTTCGTTGAATTTTTTAATGGAAGATAAAATTTTGTTGTACATTATATTAAATATAAAAGTTTTAAAATTGTTCTGTTAAGAAAAAATCAATTCTGAAATTAATTCGATATAAAAAAATGACACTGCATAAACTTGGATATTAATTAGAGACCATTTCGTATATCTGTACGCGTAGATTTCATTTTTAATTGAAAAGTCTTATTTATACCCAGTTTTATTGAAATCTATACTTATTAAATATTTAAAAATCTCGACTTTGATTACAGCAAAAGAAGTGCAAAAGATGTTGATCTCGAACAGCTGCAGGACGAGTTCTGCGAGACGCGTGCCGGGGCTGGAAGCTCGTGATGATTGACAGCTTGGATTGGTGAACTTGCCGAACAAGATATTACATGTGTTATCGCGAGCACTGCCGGCTGACAATAGATCAAAAGCGAGAGTATGCGTGCGCGGCGCCGAGTACTTGCTGCGACTCCAATATACGAGCCTGTCAAACTTTATGACGGGGGATTTCGATACTTGATGAATGAACGCATGCCGTCCCTTTCGAATGTCACACTTCAGGAGCTCGCTGACTTCCTGTCGCCGAACTTGCGTTGTGAATATGTGAGCGCTTATTGAGATGTGAAATTTGTCGGTCGCGCGCGCCAACACAATTCCGCTGGAAAATTTTGCTATCCTGGAAAGCTTCCTATTGAAAGCAAATTTCCTCGGAAGGATCGCGCGAAATGAAAAGGGATGACATTTTAAATTTCTAAATTCCGCTACTACAAAACAGCTATAGGGATATACCACGCCGAACCTGTCAAGCAGAACCGAGCAGAACTATCTCATAATAATCAAACTTTTCGGATGCTAAAAACAAAAGATTAACATGTTTAAAAGTACATAATATTCAACTAAATGTATAAATGTTAATTAATGTACATACATCTATAAAAAAACAGGTACGTAGATATTTATATTATTTTTCATTCTATTCAAGAGAAAAATAGGTGAAAAATATGATAAAATAAAAATTATATTGAAGTGAATTTAATAATTACGTATTAATAATGCGTCGAGCTTTTAACTATTTTTATATATTCAATATTGTTATTTACGTCAAGATGAAATCAATACGTCGGATTTAATAAAATACGCAAGTTAATGCATAATTGCATTTTCAATTGAATAAAACTGGAGTGAGAGAGAGAGAGAGAGAGAGAGACACCGGGAATTTTTCCTCCAAAATGAATATCATGCAAATCCGATTGCGCTCTAATCGAAAACAAGCGGTTAACCGTGAACTCTGATCGAATCGCGTGATGTGGTGGACATGAAAATGCGGTATTACAAGAATGCCGACATGGAAATGTTTATATACGCCGGGTGCTTGGAGATTTTTCCGCATGCAATGGCTCTTGAATGTGCATGTGCACGCGACGTTTATCGAAGGGCGTGCACATGACGCAGCAGCTCGATTCAACTCGCGCGTGCTTCCTCGACGTGAAAGAAAAAAAGAAAAGGAGATATGAAGGAGAGAAAAATTCCGACCGTACTGAGTCGATATGGTATATCGAGTTACATGGCGGCGAGGAACACCGCGCGTAATTTATGTGAATAAATAAAAAAGTTCATTAGCTCCATCCTCGACTTTACCACCCCCCTCACCCCTTCCCGTAATAACTTCGCAATGCTTCTGCAGCAATGAAGAAGATATTGCCGGCCTTGTTCAATAATATTAAGGTAATATGGCGGATAAAATATTGCAGTTTGGTATTCTCGTTATTCGGTTAGTTCATAAGCGAATTACATTGTAACGTGGAGCGCGTAAACTGTCGAGAACTTGCCTCTGACTTTGTTTATCGAATGAGAGTCAGGCTTGTATGCGGCATGTCGTGTTTGCGTGAATAGAAATTAATTGATCTCCGAAGCAATAAACTTCTAATTTAAACGTCTTGCTGTTATAATATATATAGTGTCGGCGCGATGTAATTCGTATCGTATCTCACTTTAGCTTGTCGCCTTTGTAAAAGCATAGGGAGGAATAACGTTTGATAAGATACGATCAGCTATCCAAGTATAAATAACTATTACATTTGTAACATTTATAATAATAAAAACTCTCGTCGCGTATAATTGTCCGTATTAGTGGAAAATTTTAGCAAATTATCGCGTCACGTGGGAACCGGCTTGGTGGATAATGGCTCGTAATATATGGAGGATATCCAGCGCGTCCCTCGCTGGGTTATCTGAAAATTTCAACCGCGGACATTCAGACGTTTCCATCGCGATATGTCATTAGAGCAGCTCCGAGTATCCGAATATCCGGGGTGTGCCGGGTAGGTACGTCGCGAGAGAGAGAGACGAGGAATGATGGGCCGCCGGATAAGTCAGCGTCGTAAAAAATAAAAAAATAAAAAAATTAATGGAAGAAAAAAAAATAGAAATTCGCTTACCATTCAGCACGTGGACCATTACGCTCGCTGGATTCGCGTTGCTGGGGACGCAGGTGTAATTTCCGCTGTCGGTCAATCTGGCCTGTGTCACCAGTAGTCTGCTCGTCGTCCCAGTATCCGTTTTCTCCGTCTCCAGGGAAATGCCGCCCCTGCGGTGTACACTGAATTATCGCAGATACTTTGGCGCCGTTCTCGTCACACACATTGCTACTTTGTCATTAGTTCTCTCTGCAGGGACGGGGGAGGGAGGCGCAGCTTACAGAACGAAACGTCGGAAAAAAGCGCAATCGCGTGTGGTACATAAACGATAACGCGGGTTCGCGTTCGTATCGCGTATATTGTCAAATGTTACGTTGACAAACGTGCGCAAATAAATGTGTAAATAAAAGCTTATTCGCATCAGATATCTTCTACAAAATTGATGTACGGCGTACGCTAAAAAAACGCGACAATTGCGAAAATATCGTGACATTTGAAACATGTAACGTCGTATATTACCCTCTTTGGCCATTGTAAGTGACATATTTCGCTCTGCAGAGAGGGAGAGAAAGAGAGAGAGAGAGAGAAAATAAACTACTTTCACATTTTTTCCTACGAAACGTTATCTGAACTAATCCCAGACAAAATTGCCGGATCAAGGGTCGTTTGCTTTTTCGACTCTTGATGATCCCTTCCCGAGTTGACGGGGCTGACGAAAAGATTAAAGGCGGGGTGCTTTCCGCCCGATCGGCGATACCGCAAAGTAGCGACCCGAAAAACCCGGCCGAAGCCTCCCTCCTCGTTTGCCGAGACGGGGGAAAACTTGCGAAACATCGTCGGGATCTACGTCGTTTATGCGATAGCAGCAGTAACATCCGCGATCGAATGGAGACGTGTTTAGCAGGCGCGTGTGTGTACGTGAGGGAAAAAAAAGAGGAGGGGAAGAACAAGGAGAGAACTCTCGATTCTGCGTCGCGATTTGTACCTGGGACTGTCGAAATCCAGCACGGCCCCTCCTTGATACCAGGTAACGCTACTGGGAGGTGTACTTCGCACATTTACTTCGCACGTGAGGCTTATCGTGCTACCCTTCTTCACGTAGACGTCTTCCGGCCCCAGGATCGTCGCCTGAGCGGCTGTAACACACGTTAAAAACCATACGCTTAAATATCCCGCATCCATATCTATCTACACGTAATTAAAATGACGGGCTGCGATCGGTCTGGAAACATCAAATTGTACCCTTAATTAATACCGAATTTATTTATTTGCACGACCTAAAGTCTTACAGAAAGTAAGGTATCTTTCTGATCGTTTCACTTATGTAAGATTTTAAGAAATTGAAAAACGATTTTTAAAGCTTAATTATTTGAGGCTGATAATACTATTAATATGATCGCTGTTTTTACTGTAATAGAATTAGCTTGTCAAAACATCTCTTTCTATTCCTTGTATTTATATTTCTATACGTGAAAAATATTGTGAATTTTTATAATGCAATATTATATATCTCAGAAATATTTCAATTATATTACCAGTTTTTTATCATTAATTTTTTAATCATATTCGCCATTTTTCAACTTTTGAAAAACAACTGGGGATGTAATAAACACGTATTTGCTATTTGCATAATTTACATGTTTTGCATCATATACATAATAACAAAAAGAAAATGACTTATATTAACATCAACATAATTTAATTAAAATTACGTCACGTTTAGATAAATCTTCCGTTAGTATTAGTTATTAATGAATATTATTTGTTCGATATTATCGATTCAGCCTAAAGCCAGAATATATAAAAATTATCCACTTCACAAGAGTTTAAAAATATTGCCGATTAAATAAACCAATAAACGAGTTTTCGCGTGTTAAACTTCTTGTCTAATAATTGTTAATTATACAGTCGATGATTTTAAATTTAATATTTTGAATAATTATTTGATGATTCCAACCTTACGTTTATAATTTATAAACAAAAATAAAGGATCTTTTTGTGACTTTTATGCAATAATAAATTGAAATAAAAATTGAAATAGAAATAATTCGTGAAAGTACTTGTGTGTAGGCGTTTGAAAACAGAAAAAATATTTTACGTATTATAAAGAAGAAAAGAATACAAAGAAATAATCAAATACAATAGAATTTGTTATTATTAACAATAATTTTCGCACGATAAAAAAAACATCTTTATGTTAACAGTTCAGTACTTACTCATTACTCAAATCATCGCTGCAGTTATCTTATAAAGATTATATAAGTGAAAACATGCAAAAAGTACCATGCAGAATCACGAAAGGCCAACCTGAACATGAATTCAAACGTTTCTTCTTTTCCAATTTATAGAGCGGGTAAAAAGTTTTACGCCGAAACAAACTATCGCTAACAATCGAGATCTACAAGCGTAAATAAGTCGAGGCCGTACGAATATCGCACGGGAGATATTCTCATTACCAGCTCGCATCGGGTTCCCGACATTTCAAAAAAGGTTTTGCGCGCGCGGTTTTCCACCGAACATTTAACGCATGGTGTATTTACGACTCGCAATATTACGGCGGAAAATTAGCACGCGTTAGCGTCAGCTGTATCTGTGCAAAAAAAAAGGAGAATATTTGTCCGACAGTCCCGGGCGTAACGGCGGCGCCTAAATGAAGAGCGCCGAACCCCCGTGTTTCAGCCTTGTTCATGCTACGACCTCAACTCACTTGGCGAACGGAAACCCATCGGTGGCGGCTCGGCCATAAATACGCAAAAAAACATTCATGCACCACCGTTACGGCATGTAACTAAATTGCAAATAACACTTCTAGCAGCTAGCAAATTCAGTAGCTTGGAAAAGGAGTCTGCTCTCTGCGTGAGTCTAACCTGAGTTGAACGTCCGGTGAATGGCGTTTGGTGTGGTGATGGCAGGGACAGGGGCACTTTCTGGAATGGGAGGACAGAAAAGATATCGAGTTAATCGATTTCGTCAAGATCTATCGTTTCGGGGGTTGGAAATTGAAACTAATGTTGAGAGCACTATCGGTATATAATGGATCACGTATGCCTGCGAGATATCGAGTACAAAGAATATTGTTTTTTCCCAACATCGCTTCTACGTTTCTTTCTGTCGTCCGTTTCTATGCATGTAAGTTGAGATTGTGTGGAGACTCTAACATTTTTAATCCAACATTTTTAAAGTGTTTTTTACCTACCATAGTAGTGTTCAAGATTAACATGTAACAATTTCAATAAATTTCTATTTAAAATCTCTCTCGGATCAATGATTTAAGCGATAAGCGAATAATCGAAATCAGATTAATTAACGAGTAAAATAAAATGAAATATTATTTTTTAATATCTTTCGAATATTTAAATATTAATATTTATACAATGGATCCAGTAATTTATCTTATACCCGGAAAACATATCGAAATGAATCCTTTTGTTAGGGAATTTTTAATTGTCAAGATATTCTTTTTAGTATTTGCATTTATATTAGTATTTTATTTGTATTAAGCGATTGTATATAAACATATATACACATATATAGGTGCTTTATTGAAAGACGAAATCGATAATGTGCGTTTGGTAATTAAATTAATGTTATGCGATTACTCGATCAGAGAAGTAGATGCAACAAAGCTAATCGGTTCTTTAGGATGTTCCTCGTGTGACATACATGCAAGCGAAAGCATTAATCATATTTTGGTCATGCTGGTGCGTATTCGAGTTATCCAGCAGTGTCATTCCTGATCAATCAGGTGATAGACACTTATGAAAGCGTTCAGATATTCTTTCACCTATCGTAAAATTACGCAAAATATATTTACAACGGTATAGAGATTATTATGGGAGCTTAACCCTTTCACAGTGTATCGCTTGCGTTTTAATTGAAATAAATGAAAAAAAAAAGGTAACTCGCAAGAATTATGAATTTAATTGCAGCAATAAATTACAATGAAATATTTATTCTGACTTATGAAGTATGTATAATATATATTGTACGTATTGCATAACGTCAGAATAAAAATTAAAAAAAATCTATGTTTAGTACATTGATATATTTTTAAATATAAATGAGCTTTCCTTTCTTTTTTTCCTCTCTTTTTTTTCTCTTGCCTCGTGATAAATCTTGTTTGGAATTTTATGTGCACACTTTTACTAAATGAAGCGAGATCCATGAAAGGGTTATCTGACGACTTTCTAAAGACTTTACGACCTTGATTTTACCTTCGACTTTTAACAGGAAGGCTAAGTTCATTTTGGGCTCGGTGTTAACCTGGCATTCATAAATCCCGGCGTCCCGTGGTTGGATGTACTCGATCCTCAGCGTCCATTCGTCGGATGATTCGGGGTGCTTAACGGAAAATCTTGCGTCCCCCGTGTAAGCGAGGGTCGATGACGTCAGGATATGCAAATCCCTCTTACGTATCCAGGAGATCTACAAGCAAAGTGAATGCCCGATTAGACTCTATCCGCCCGAGCTTCAACCATCGATTTGCCGATCTGAATAATTGATGCGATTATCGCAATCGCGCGCCCATTTTCTTAAGAAAATATTATCTACCGCAGTTGCAACAAATTGCATTTAATGTCGAAGAAAGGCTTTAAATAATCTACGTCCTTTATGAAAATTTTTAGCTTATATTTAGAAATTCGATAAAAAAACTTTTCTACTTTAGATAATTCAATTTCAATCAAAGAGATATTGTTTTATACTTTTATTATACATATAATTGGATGTTTTCGGTTATGATGTGTTTTGGAATCGAAACAGAGTGGCAGGAGAAGAGCGATCGGACCAATCGACCTCAATTCATCAGATGACGGCAATTAGTCGATAGCGCGATTAATCGACTCTCGGTTAATCGGTAGCCAACTATCCATTTATTTGATCAATTATGTCGTCCGTTATTAACCCGCTGATACTACTGTCCGAGTCGCTTTAAAAAGCGACGTTCATTTCCGGTCGGTTTAGTCGTCAGCCGTTGTAGGAAATATTTCGAATTTAACAATAACTTCCGCGACCGCGTGGGCGTATAATGCGCCGGCGATCGGTACGACCGCCCATTGTTACAATGCCTCCTGCACAAACACGCGTAATGTGTAACGTTTCGTCCGCGCAAACGTTAAATATTGTCGCTCCGTGTCGCATATAAATATTCCGTTCTATCGATCTCCACCGTCAATTGTTGATCGATCAAGCACGTTGCCTGTGATAATAACTGAATTACCACACCGTTACATCAAAATTGCAGTGTAATCTGAAATTTGTCGCAGCTTGGCGCATGCATGTCAGCACACATGTATGGCATTACAAATGAGGTATTACATTTTCGTGGTTTACAACATCGCCTATTAAACGCGATAATAAACGGTTTCCGCGGTTTAATCTTTCGGATTTCGTGGATTATCACGTCATAATCGCGTTAATATCAAGAGTTAGTACATGTATATCGGATATATATATATATATATATATATATATTTCAGATATTTTACTAAGAATTAAATTGCTCTATTAGGTATTTTTAGATTATATAATTTTCTAGTAAAATCCCACATCGTGTATTTTTTCCATTTAATAACAAATAAAATTTCAAAATTTAATACCTATTTTATTCATCCCTTGCGTATCAAATAGAAACATATTATCGTATAAATTGCTGAACGATTTCAATCTTTATTTCGTTCAATCGTGAGTTGTGCGACGCCTTCCTCTTAAAAAAAAAAAGATGCCATACACGAATTCAATATAAAACAGGAGTTCCCCCAACTCGAGGGAAATTTTGTCAGACGATCACGGTGAATCGTTCTATCGAATCGCTCGAGTCCCTCCGACTAACGCTTCGGGCCGACGCAACATCGATATTGTTTAATCGATAGCAGTGGCACACGCGTATAGCATAGCTCGGATTGGAAAAACGCATTAGGTCTCCCCGGGCCCTACAGGGGTAGCATTTGAGACGGCAGTTAAAGGTTGTCTCCGAGCCACCCCGACAATTATAGAAGTACGTGCCTCCGACCAGCACACCTACAAGACGTCCTCGGTGTCCCTTTCTCCCTTCCCCCTTCCCCTCCCTCCCTGACTCGCTATCGGACTTCCAACCCTAGCCAACGGCGGGATCGTTAAACGTATGTTCTTTCCGGATCCGGATGGAGGATGGTCTCACCCCTTTCATTAATTATTCCCCATCGCATCCTTCTGGAAATCACCTCGGTTTTAGAATGACATGATCCTTCCGCGCGAAAGGGAGACGTTGGATGGACGAAGTTCTAGGATATTAAACGGTTGATAAGGGTCGATCTTCTGATCCAACGCGCAATATGTGAGAACTTATCCCATTTTCTATTATCGCTCTCAGGCCCGCGCTCGCTTGAATTTCTTGGAAAAAGGTGATATCTCACAATTTTACCATCCATCGCGCGTGCCGATTCTTTACAATATAGGTATTCTGATATAAAATATATGTATGTGAGATATAGAAATATCATCATATAATGTGTTACTTTTTGCTGTAAAATACATGTGTATATACAATATATGTTTCAATTTAGTTGGAGTAACACCCTAAATATCACTCTCGTTGAAATGAAAACTATATATATGTATATATATATAAAGTGTCCTAAAAAACGTCGTCAGATGAGTGCTGTAAATGTAGCATTTCGTAACTATCGCAAAATTTTTATTTGATTAATTATCTTCTTTTATAATGGTAGATTTTATTTCTTCGGTTAATTTATTGTACATAAAGTTATAAAAAGCAACATACGGCAGCACATTGAGATAAGTCTCTCAAAGAACAACAAATTAAAAATTATAAAATATATCTTGTCTAAAATTATTAATCGGTACATCAGCGACATTAAAGTCTAACATCTCCAAGTTTGAAAATGTTGCAGCAAAAATGACCTAAAATCGACGATAATCTCAAAAGCCGATCGTAATTTTTCCGTTTAAGAGATAGAGAATGCAAGAAATTAAGTCGCTCTTAAGTATGAATTATAGAAATACACTCGCATACCCTGTACATCTATTTTACCTCCCCTTTTCTCTCTCTCTTTCTTCTTCTTCCTTCCGTGGTTATCGTTTCGCGCCTTTTATATCTACAGTGCACCTCCGTCGGGGAAAATTAAATATCCTCCAGCTCCTACGTTTGGCCCCTCAGGGTCAGAATCCTTCGTAACTTAGCCACGAAAATCTTATAGTTTCGAACTCTCGACTTGCAACGGAGATTACGAGAGCGGGAATATTACGTGCTCGACGTGTTATCGCGTGTCACTTTATTGCGGCGGTAGTACCGGCATAAATAAGTGAGTACATTCAGCGCGTTGAATAACTTATGGCTGTGTTGCTAATGATGTTTAATTAGATATGAGACAATTCGTACCTTCTAATGGGAACAACTAACTGACTAACCGCGGCGTGTGGATAGAAGAAATACACACGTCTACATCATGATGGAAATTTCAGTGTCTGTCGGTTTTTTTTTCTTCTTTGTCTTTCTCGTTATTAGAAAAGCAAAAGAAAAGAAGAAAGTATTTTATTCGAGATCAAAAATTTGTACTTGAAAAAAAACCGATAATTTTCTTATAGTTTTCATTTCAACAAACAGATAAATAATTAATAATATTATTTAATAGATTTAACTTAATTTTAGGAACGATTAGTTTTTATATTAAACAAATTATTTTACAATTAATTGCTTATATATACATCTTTTAACTTGAAGACATAACTTGATGACAAGAATCTCCTGCAAGTACATAGCTTTTAATCGTCTTATCGTTGAAGTCAGACTACCTAAAATGAACTAAAATTTTCACGTGACACGTCACTAAGAACAATCGACGCAATTTGCAGCGAGATAACCAAATTCGTCCCACAATTTCCAAGCGCAAGATAACCTCGCTGCCTCCCTACCGCAGGCAAGAGAAATTACGAGGCAAGAAAGGACAGGGCGCTCGCAATGTTGCGCCAGCTTAGAAATCAGCGCGTACGAATAGCGAAAGGAACGAGACGAGGGGGCATCTCTCTCTCTCTCTTTCTCTCTCTCTCTCTCTCTCTCTCTCTCTCTCTCTCTCTCTCTCTCCTGGTGGTACTCCTCTCTGAACTTTTTGCTTGTTTCCCTTACATCCTACAGGAATATCCGACGAGAGAAAAAGGGAGAGTGCAAGCTTACCACGAGCTAGGCGGTACATAAAACATCTCCAAGCACAATTTGCCAGGCGGTAAGCAGCGTAAGCGAGCTTTCAGTGGCTTTGACCTTTCGTCGCCGTCACGAAGATCCGCCATTTTCTGCTTAGGTCAGACCGAAAGCGCTCTCGGGAACGCATCTCTTTGTACGGCTATATGACCCCCGTGCGCGCGCGCCGCTCAGCGATCTCGATTTCCCTTTAATTCGCGAGCCGGGTAGAAGGCGGATTGTACGCGTATATAACTACTGAGAGAGCGGATGCAATTTAGCGCAAGGTGGAACGTATTCAAAGCGAATGGCCGTCAATCTTACTTTATATGAAAAGTATTCCTTTGGTGCCATCCTCGTTTTATGTAACGTTCCCCGATTGAAGTGCGTGGCATTTATTTGTCGATAACAAAATAAATTACAGAAGCTTGCTAAAGACGATAGTCAAAATGCGAAACCTGATAATTTGTTTCTCGAATTCCGCTTTGTTATCATGTGAAGATGTTTCCGTAAAATTTTTTTTATATCTCCTCTTATTTGTGCTTCTTGTTCTTTCTCTTAGTAAGAAACAATATGTTTTCTCGCCCTCAAATCAGAGATTACGAGGTCATTACCAAGATTTCTTATAGACATTCATTGTAATTTGACGAAAGATTTCCTGCGTAAATAGACAATAATTCGCCGAAGATGCGAATGTGTTGTATCGCGCGCATACGAACCGGAGATAAATTGTATTTACGGGGAGTCTCAATATACAAGTAGTCGCACTTTCGCACAAGTCGGTCGACGTGCCGTGTTACAGCTCAACTCTCCGCTTCTTTCTCGTGTTTTCTCGAGTTTTCGTGGGATCTCGGGACGCAGTCGGGCATGTCGATCAATTTGGCCGAGACAGTTTGTATCCGGTCGGGTTTTGTCTCGAGCGCGAACTAACAGACGCACGACAATATCGACTGACACAAGTGAAATAGAAGAGGGGAAAGCAAAAAGAGAGTGAGCCGCTTGAAGACTCTGACATAATCCATTTACGCGTCAATTTTTAATGGTACTGACACTTTCGTTGGGCTTTCATACATATCATACAGCACGAGAATGGTTCAAAGGTCTTGTAACTTATGCAAATTTACAGACGTAAATTTACAGACGTATAAATGTTGAATTAATACATGTATTATTTCAATATATACGTATATATATGTATCATAGCAGTCAATTCGTCGTGATATAAAATTTTTATCTAATATTATTTCTTAAA